TTGCGGGCATGGCTACCCACTGAACGTTTAAAAAAACCTCCGGCTTGGAGTCCCAGTTTCCGTGCCAGAAACCGGCGCATTTCCCCCAGTTAATAACACTCCCCGTATTCTTGCAAAACGAAGAAGCAACACGGACCGCCTCACGCACGCTGTCCTGATCGACGCAGAAGACCGCAACGTCGTCCGCGTAGGACAGAACTTTTACCTCGCAAGACTCCAGCCTGAAGCCACGTATGTTTACATTGTGAATCAGTTTTAAACAAAAAGGTTCTAAGTATATTGCAAATAGCAAGGGGGACAGTGGACAGCCTTGTCTTACAGACGAAAGGACAGGTACACTTTCACTAGCTTTCTTATTTACAATAATAGACGTTGTTCAATTCGCGTACGCCATTTTTAAACCGTCTAATATTGAGGACCCGACGTTCGCGTATTCCAAAATACGAAAAAGAATCTTGTGCGACACCCAGTCGAACGCCTTCTCCAGGTCTAACTGCAACATGGCCACACGGCAACCGAGATCATCGCAACATTCCAGAATACTTTTTGCTACATGAATATTCGTAAAAATTGTGCGCCCTTTAATACCGCATGTCTGATGCGGTCCCACAAGACTAGTTATGACATTCTGTAAACGCCTGGCGAGGACTTTCATAAAAATTTTATAGTCAACATTTGTTAGACTTATTGGCCTGTAGGAGTCGACTGACAAAAGCCTTACGGGGTCGTCGACCTTTGGGATGAGAACAGTGTGTGTCCTCAAAAAGGAGGGCGGCAAAACACGCTCACAATACGCCTCCGTTATCACCTGATACAAGGCGTCGGCTGCCTCCCTTTTAAACAATTTATAAAATTCCGCACCGAGGCCGTCCGGGCCGGGCGTTTTGCCAGAAGATAGTTCATCAATGGCCGTCTCAATCTCACAAACTGTAATCGGCGCTTCTAATTTTTCGCGAACGTCATCTTGTAATTTCGGCATTAAGGGCAAAAATTTATCATTAAAGCTGTCGTCAGCAATAGCACTACACGCAAAGAGACCCCGGAAATGCTCAACAAATGCTTTCTCGATTATATCTTTATCGCGAGTTATCGTGTTATTATATCGTATTTCTTTAATCTCGTTTCGCTGCGCCTGCCGTTTTTCATCACTGAGCGCCCGCTTCGTCGGCTTTTCACTTAACCACAACCTTTCAGATCGCGCCCGCACAACAGCCCCACGGTACGTTTCGCAGTCAATGACCTCCAGTTGATTTTTGATACTTCTTATTTCATCAACAAACTCGCCTGGCTTCGCGCTTTCTTCGATCAGGAGGATGTTCAGCTGGCGCCGCAGCTCCTTCTCCTTCTGCTTCCTCTGTTTACTGAGAATAGTACTCCTCTCAATAGCAGCCATTTTAACTCCCTCTTTAAAAAATTCCCACCTCACCCCCCATACTGTTTGTTTATCCTCGTACAGTTCCTTGAATAGAGCATCTACCTTTGATTTAAAAACTTCATCCTTTAGGAGGCAACTGTTCAACTTCCATAATGACCAGTTCCACTGAGGCACTTTGACTTTTCTCCCAAGAGTAAACATAACTAGAGCGTGATCACTGAAGGACACAGGCTGAACCAGGTAATCGGAGCACAAAGGAACTAAATCCAGGGATATGTATGCTCTGTCGAGCCGGGCGTGGCTTTGGCCTTGAAAATGGGTGAAAGGTACGCTGCGTTTGGAGGAAACAGATGCTACGTCCTCTAATAAATTTTCCGCGACAATATCGTTTAATAAAATAGCGCTGTGGTCGCGGACGCGGGCCTGATTCGAGCGATCCTCAGGCGCGCACACACAATTAAAATCGCCAAGCAAAATAACATACCTCGCACAGTTAATATACTCGTTAATAGTTTCGAAAAAAACTTTGCGCTCGCGCTCGCGAGTCGGTGCGTAAACACAAATGACACGCCATTCGACGTTAGAAAATGAAAAATCGCAGATAACAAAGCGGCCGAAAGCACACGCAAACATAGCCGTCTCAATCACACCTAGTGACCGGCGAATAAACAAACAACAGCCGCCCGAAGTTCCATCGGCGTGTGCCACACAAACGTTAAAAAGAGTTCGAAAAGGTTGCACCATGCGGTCCGTCCGCTCTTGGCTCTCGACCTTTGACTCCTGAACAGCGATGATATCAAGCTCGTTCTCAGAAAACAGTCGGCTCAGCTGGTATTGCCGGCGCCGGGCTGCAAGCCCGCGGACATTAATCGTTGCCGCTCTTAGAGGTGCCTCTAATATCACCGCCATTCAGGAGGAGGAGCCACGGACCGCACGGAGCTTACCTCGGCTGGAAAAGGCTGTCTGACACGTCTCTACGATAGTCTGTCGCAGACTCCGACGCCCCGTTCGACCTCCGGTGCACACGCTTACGGGGGAGGCTTAGCCCCCCTTGTGCCATCCGCAGGGATGTTGGGCTTGACTGCGCGACGCCTCCACATGGGTGTCGCTTTAGGGGGCGGCTCCTCTTGCTTCACTGCCGTAGGGTCCGAGGCGTCATCCTCCCGTGTCCTTTTCGCGGCCGCACCGCCCGCAGAGGCATCCGGGTCGGCCATGGTGACATCGGCAGCTGGATCCTCGTTGGCGACGTTGGGGGCGACTTCTGCCTCATTGTGCGGTGCAGACGTCTCCACCGCAGGTCTATCCCGCTGCCCCGCCTGCCCTGCCTCGACCGCAAATGGTGTTGTGCCGCTGGTGTTCGGGGCCGCACCGCCTGCAGGTTCAGGGGGCCCGCCCGCCACAGGACTCTCCTTGCCAGTTGAACCCGCACTGGTCTCCTCGGCTTCGGCCTCGTCCATTAGGAGCTCAGATTTCTCCAAGCCACCCTCAGGCGCAGCAACCGCCGCGTAAGACCGGACGCACTGGGAGCCCTCGTGGCCGAAGCGACGACAGACGTTACACCTCGGGACGCGGCACTCCTTGCGGATGTGCCCCGTCCGCTGGCAACGGAGGCAGAGCGGGGCCCTGCCAGGCACGACGATGAGGGCCAACTCACCGCTCACCAGCAGCTGGTGCGGGATGTCGTCGAGCGTGACGCCCGCCTTGAGCCTGAGCACCGCCGTGCGTGTCATGGTGCCCACGGTCTGGCAGCCGTCGACACGCCACTTTTCCCTGGCCACCTCGAGGACCTTACCGTACGGCGCCAGGGCCGCTCTCACGTCGTCGTCGGTGACGTTGAAAAGGAGCCAATGGAGCTTCACTCGAACGTCCTGGTGGCACGGGTCGACGACGAGGCATCGGCGGCCCTTGACGGTCAGCTCCGGCGTGGCGAGCATCTTCGTTTTGCCCTCGGTGGTCTTGAACGTCGCCGCCCACACATGGTTCATGCGGTAAGCCCCGAGGGCGGCGACCTCGGGGAGCAAACCGAGGGGAGCCAACGCGTCGCGGAAGTCGTCGACGCGGTACGGCCGCCCCTTCATGTCAGCGTGGAAAAAAACGGTGTTTAAAACAACGGGTCCTGTAGGCAGAGCAGGCAGAATGACTTGATAATCTCCGTTATCGTTAGCCCTGATACCGCGGCCGGCGTGGGCCGCTGACACCGCTCCTTCGGAGCTAGACATCGCACATCCGTACGCTTCGGCGGCCGGAAGTGGAATCCTCAACCGCTATGCTACACCACCGCTACAGAAACTCGATTTGACTATTTGTTTTATACGAGATGGTTCGGCTGCAAATGCAGTTAAGCCGTCAGCATGTTATGAAAGCACTCGTACACCACTCGCCGTACTTCAGTTCTACTCACCTGCCATGTAGAGTACTTTCGCGTCGTAGAATGATCCTTTCGTTCGCGCGTCATCGGCCCAGTAGACCTGGTACACCTTGTCGTCTTTAACTACGCCGCTAAAGTCCCTTACATCGCCGGAACTCACAACAGGCTGGGTCTTGTCGAGTAGAAATTCTACTAAAACATAAGACATTGTAGAGCCCGGGCAGGATCGACAGGTTGGAGCAAGCGGGCAAACAAAACGAGTCGAGAGCGATCGTTCATGAAAGCTCGGCGATTCCTCCATGGGCGAAGCGAAGTGCGAAGTGTCGCGTTCGACGCTTCGGCGGCTTCGGCGGGCTTCTGGTCAAGGTTGTCGGTCGGTTGCGTGTCACATCTCTAACGTCAGCGGTTTTATGGGCTCACGTCCCGAAATCGTTTTCTCGTGCATAGATTACTTTTCGTATTCATAGATTTGACGAAATAGTGGTATCTGAACGAACTTTACGTCCTTTGACCGTACTTGTGTCTGCACGTCAAAGCTTTCTGACGTACAGTCAGAGACAATCGATGTACAGTCAGAATCACCACCAGGACATCCTGATGGCATTTCGCGGCGGCCGACTGCCACCAGGAAACCATCAGAAAGCCGACAAGCGGGGTCTGACTGGAGTTTGACTGTCGGTCAGAGTAACTTGTTGTCCAATCAGACATGCTTGACGTACAGTCAGGCACAGTCAGCGGTCCACTAGAAAACATTGACTGCCAAACAGCGTTACATTGATGGATTTTTCCTTCGGGGTAGAAAACAATTAATTACCTTTTCGCAATTTTTCTCAGTTCATCTAGCCTCTCAAGGGAATTACCGTGAATATTGCAATTCTAACATGACTCCTATGAAACAAATAATTAAAAAGTTAATTAAGAGTTTAAATATTTATTCAACTTATCGTGACGAATATCCCCTCGTCTAAGGTCCGCCGAGCCTGATAAATTCACGGTAAAGACAGAATTCGCCAAACTTTCACCCCCTATTAAACAAAAAAAAAAAAAAAATATATATATATATATATATATACTAGTATACAGATTCATTTATATGTTAAAATTAAACAATCCCCTGAACATGTATACTGTATATAATATATAGTCTTTCATAAAAAAAAAGCTTTCTTCTACAAATACATTTTTAGAAACTTTACATAGTTAATTGAAATGAGGAGTCAAATATCTACATGCTCATTTTGCAATATCTTTTTTTAGATGATTGCGCAGCAACCAACCTTATATATGCGTTATAGAACGTACACCACGAGCTACAATTACGAATGTCTGTACATCAAATTTGGCGACAAAAGCGGATCGATCTATCCGGAAACCACTCTGGGGTACAAGGTGCCAACAAGAGATTATGCGTGAGTATAATGCGTTGGGTGTTCTTTATTCCTTTCACACATTACTTTCCCATTCCAGAGAGACAAGAAAAGTAACAGTAACTGTCAAGACAACGCAGTATCCAAAGTCGAGAGGCGGAAGCGCCCCACGGAGTGCTCCAAACACTTTATCCTACGAAAAAGTAAACGGTGGGTATTAAATTTCATAAGCATTATTTTAAACAAATACGGGTTCCAAGTCAAGAACCTTTACTTATCAAGTACGTTATACCAAAAAGGGTGTAACGCACTCGATGCATTTTCAAAACAGTGATGGGTAACGTACTTACGTTATTTATTTTTGAGTAACTTGAAACGTAGTTACATTATTCGTTATATATTCTTCTCAAGTCTTTGAAAATTACATTTAAATCTATGTCATGTTGTAAGCGCCAAGTTATATGAATTAATGAGGGTTTTGCATTTTTGTGCGTTTTCTCTCGTCAGTAATTATGTGGAACAAGAAAAAAGAAAAGGTAATTATGTCCAATTTCTGGATGGACATAATGTTACTTGAAATATGGCGCTGATTCATACCTGTAACTTCAAAAGAATAAAACGTCTTAATTCATAACTTTAAAACAAAAGTTACGCAAACGTAACGTGCGTTACTTTTTAACGGTAACTGTAAAGCGTTCCTTTTATTTTGATCTAACGTAGGTTGGTATTGCGTCACTTTTATTTGCAATAAGGACTGAACCATTTCGTTACTTTTTTTTTTTCTGTGACGCCTACAACTTTGGTTGATGGCTGATATTCATAAAGGTCTCAGAAGAACAGATATCTATCTAACTGTACAGTAAACATGCAGCAATTAACCTGCTCCTATATTTACAGAAGACGAATTCCAAGACGACACACAGCATGATTACTATCTAATATATGCTGACACTAATAAATGTGCCGTGATGAGGAACCCCCAACAGGACGGAGGCTATGGTGAGTAGGAATCATTTGTTTTGGCTTAAAATGTTCTAGAATTCGTCCCGTTTATTTGTGTGTGTTTCTATTCGTTTCCGCTGGGTTGCCTACCTCTTATTATTATAAGGGATCTCCCATTTGGTTTCAATTATGGTGTTTTCATAGATAAAAAAAAAAAACGTCGGTGAACAAGAATTTACGAGCCTATCAACTTGTCTGTGAAAGCTCCTGCCCATTTCATCGGAACAGCTTTTTTCCAAAGCAGCTCCTACACTCAGTTTACCCTTAACTGAGACTAGACTGACCGCCGAATTCAGAAACCTCACTCAAACTAGACTCAAACTGAAGGACCCCTTCACTTCCCCGAGGAAGGCGCGGGGGCCGGCGCTGGCCAATCGCGACAGCGGATCCGTCCTCGCGATTGGCCAGCGCCGGCCCTCGCGCCTTCCTCGAGGAAGTGGAGGGGCCCTTCAGTTTGAGTGCAGTTTGAGTGAGGTTTCTGATTTCGGCGGTGAGACTGAGACAGCGACCACGCGCCTTCAGCGCGTGGTTGCTGGCTTCTGTTGCGCTTTGGTTGCTCATGCCTGCGCGTTCACGCTTGTTTTAGCAAGGGCAAAAAGCTCTCGCTGAATGCGGGGCTTTTAGTCTCAGCTTAAGGGGGAACCGAGTATAAGCACGATGAGGCAATAGCTCGTTTAAAGGGCAACTCCGCTCAATTCTGAAGATTTCGGGATAATGAGTGATTTCGAACTAGTAAAAGACACTACGTCGTTTGCTTCGCGAAAAATGGGATATATATTTTTAAATCTAATTTTAAACACGAGGAGAAATCGAAACCGAAACTTCGGCTTCGTCCGGCAACATTGGCCTCGGGCCGCCAAGTACATGGCCATCACGTGGTACGAGATGTCACGTGATCCTCGGCCCAACGACGGGCGGGATGGGGGCGGGCGTGCGGCAGCGCACTCTTCGCCACGTTTTGGTGTCTACGGTATTCGACGACGTCTGCACAACTGCGGCATAAGTCTGCGACTCTGCGCACGTGGTGTCCATAGTGTGGACGAAACTCCGAGAGGCAATAATCACAAACGGTGAGACGACGACGGTGGTTGTGACGCGGAAGACGGCGGTAACGGCGGGACCACGGCGGGCAGTTGGTCTGCTCCCAAGAAGCGCGCTGCGCAGGCGCGTACGCCAATCACGTGGACACCGCTGAGCGCCGAGAGGAAACGTTGCTGACGTCATGCGCTACGCTCGCCCGGAGAAGTGAAAACAAGCAAAAGGGGCCATGATGATGACGTTTAGCTCAATGTTGGCTCCGCCCATGCCATAGCCTTGACTGCGCTGTTGGTTGTGCCTGCATTCGCCCGCTCGAGTCAGCCGATTTCGGAAACTTGGCGAGTTGCAAAGTTTGCCGGACTGTTCAAAAAAACATTTAGACAGAACTGCGTCGTAATATTTGACGTGTGGTGCTCCTAGGCGATACTGAAGAGGACTGTATTGTTTTTTTCAAAACCAAAAATGAAGCGGAGTTGCCCTTTAACTAACTTCGTGTGTGCCGAGTTGAAATGAAGCACCCCTTTCATAGAGTAGGGTACTTCGGAGGTCCAGCAGATGCGGTCATCCAAGAATTCAAGATTTAAATCAAAGTACTGTAAACAGCCCCTGAGGTCGTCTCAAACAAATAGGGCAGGACGCGAACAACTCCTTCAACGTAGCAGCTTGGGCGAGTTGGTTGCACATGATAACACACACCACAGCGCACTATAGCAAATAACACTCACACCTTACACACGAAAAATAAAGCAAAATTCAAACAAACAGCGCGGTTTGTTTGAATTTTGCTTTATTTTTCGTGTGTAAGGTGTGAGTGTTATTTGCTATAGTGCGCTGTGGTGTGTGTTAACTCCTTCAAGTCATCCACCATCGTATCCACGAGCTTATTGTGTGGGCGGGCAATGACTAGGTAATTATCGACCTCTGAAAATTTTAAAAACGTCTTCACCCTCGAGTTTCTCAAGGATGGTTTTGTCGCAATGAGCTAAGATAAGTTCACACAGGACGGGGCGATATGCGAATCAAAGCGGATGCGTTGTTTTTGCAAAAAAAACATCACCAAAAAAAGGAGCCAAAGATATACTCAAGATAAATGGCAATAGTTCGATAAAGACCTCCACACTCAGCCCGCACTGGCTCCGAAAGGCAATTTCCCGTTACTTTCAATACAATTCCTTACTGCCTGAAAAGGCTGGGTTGCGGACAGTATGAAGGACGTCCTCAACGCCAATCGAAAAGACGTCCCAGACCTCTCTCTACACCCTTCATCTAAATATTCGATCGCTTCCTATAGGTTACGGACCAAAAAGTTATCTTGCAGTTTCAGACAATAGTAATTCAAATCAAAACAAGAGATTCTGATGAGTGTGTAAGCGAACTTTCTTTGGCCTTGATAGACAAGGAACTTTTACTTTTAGACCATGTGTGGGCACCTTGGAAATAGTATGTTTGTTTTCTAAAATGTTATATTTAAGACAATGTGTTTCAAATAAAATTTCTATTGCGAGTGCGCCTTGTATTGCGGTCGTTGTTTACACTGTCCTTGTTTTTTAGCGCTTTGAACCAACTAACCGAACTCAGAATTTTCTTACAATAAAATATTCTGACTGCTCTATTTACTGAAGAAAACGGCGGTACTTGAGTTGGCGCATCACCTCTTGCATACTGAGAATTCGCCTGTTGCATTACGTAGGTTGTGACGTCAATTTACAAGCCACAGTCTTCCGCGTCAACGTGCTCTATTCTGCATTTAATTAGATTATGTGACTATTCAACATCTCTCACGTGGTAAAGATGTGCTAACCAGGAGTCAATCGCCGCAATAAAACCACATGGGATACCATAAGAACCCCTTTTAGTCAGCGTAGTTAATAGGTTATAGACCCTTTCAAAAGTCCGTCGAGCAACATTGGCGGTCGCCATAGCTTGGACACGAAGCGCGTGATTGGGTCCGATTTTTTGCCGAACAATGACGCAGACCTCGTGTTCAATCCATGCTCGGAGTACGTGACCAAGCAATGGCGGACAGGCGTTGGCGCGTACTTTTGAAAGGGGTCTATTGCAAGCGGGGCGACTGGCCACCGCAATGTCTCTGCTCGTGCGTGAAAGCCCGAGCAATTACAAGCTGGTCGAAGATATGTTCGCGCGCAACCTGTATTTGTTTGCACGCATAGGGCACCAGTCGGTGCGCCATTCTTGCAGTTATCTACAGTAGACTGGTGCTGATACCAGACTTAAAGTTCGCGGGCATGGCACGTGCCTTGCCCAACTTTCAAAGAAATGAACACGCACGTACTAGTCCGTGATGCTGCTCGCCGGGCTGTACAGAGGAACGATGCATATGAACAGGCGGCAACCCACAAATGGGATGACGGCCACCTAATTATCATTACGCAGCTGTAGTCGCTGAAAGCTGAAGAATGCTGTAGAAGTTCCGCCTACACTGCGAACATCTACTGCTTCTTCGGTGTACTGCGTCATGTATATGCTTCACTCGCGGAGCCAGAGCAAGGCAGAACGCTACTAGCGCGTCGTTGAGGCGAAGGTTCTATAGTTACTGTTAAGAACTCTCTTTGAAACTCCCGGCCTCCAGAAAGCGCTTGTTGCCTTCCACCGTGCTTTGGCTGAGCCTACATGCTCGAGAGTCACAAGACGCCCGAGCGTTATCGAAGGAAGGAAGCTCGCGCTGGAGGCGGGACAACTGAAACCTCCCCCCCCCCCCCCCCTTCTTATTCTGTCAGTAATTATACTGCATTCTTAACTTGACATCAACAATTGTGGGCGCTGCGTGATGGGCGCCACGAAGTGGTCGTGCTCGCACCCGAGGTGCGAATGGTAAGTAAAAAAGCACTACGAATCACTGGACTTTGAATGAAGCCGCAAGTGGTATTGTTTTATAAACCGACTGTTTTACCGCGACATTCACCATAAGTGCGTTGACTTCTGTTGAAATTTTATCTTCAATGTGTGAGCATTATGCCAGATGCGGGTATAAAATAACTAATATAAGCTTTATGTTTATCATAAAAACATTAAAATTAATATAATAAGTACATAAATATACAAATGAAACACCAAATCAATATTCGTAGTTGCTTTAAGAACCGCATAAAAAAAATTCGGCTCCTCGCGTACCGCTAATTTCCCTCCGCAAATGTTGAACTACACTACATACGCGTGCAGTTAGGATAAGTTATTTGTTCAAAATTAGCACGTTTTAAACGCAAAAAAGCGTTATTTTCCTCATGTGACGACAATATTTTATTTTTTTAAAAAAGAAGAGCTATTATGTGCACAAAGAATTCACAAGCTCAAAACGCTTAAGCCGCGGTACACTACCAATACAACATTCAAAAGACGGTCTGCAGACTCTAGGAGGTTTTAGGGAACCTTTTGTTATGGAGTCGCCGACGCGCCGACGCTCGCCAGCTCCCAAGTCCAAAGCGACCGAGAACCACCGTTCGCGCGCATCCCGAGATCTAAACATCCGTTCGTCCGCTTCGCGCGTAACCTAAGCGCCCCGTACCAGAGGCGCCTTTCTTTTATTTCGTTTTATATTTAATAAACGAGACGTCAGTCTTCAGCCTGACTCCGGCACGAAAGGTTGTCTGTGTGTGCCCTTCGCCAAAGAACGTAAAACGAAACACCGTTTTTGAACATCCGCTATGGTACGATGTGCCCTCCGGTACGAACTGCGCATGCGCAACCACGGAAGACTCGCGCATGCGCAGTTGGCACAGGAGGGCCCATCGTAAAGTATAGGATATGCAGAAACGATTCCCTAAAACTTCCTAACGTTTGAGTCGTGCTTCTTTGTTGTAACGGCCCCGTGAAATGCATAATAGAGAAACTGTCCGCAAGAGTGTTCGAAGCACACATGAATGTACAACGCACACATGCTTCAAACATGCGTCAGGCGTGTACGCTGGTAATTCTCTCGCCACGTCTACAGCGAACACCGTCTCTTTTGTGTCGTGCACAAAAAATGTGACTGTGGCTTTAAGGTGAAATCGAGTATAGAGCTACATACATTTGCTTGACTGATATCGGTGTTTATGTCCAATATGTTGCGAATAACGTATCCCTCACCTCTATTTCAGGTTGCGAAATGTTTGTCAGCGACTCTTCCTTACAACCGTCAGAAACCTGTAAAACGATGTATTCGAGTTCCTGTGGAAAGGTTAAAAACACTGTCTGGAATAGCGATTGCGACAAAGCGATTAAAGAAGAGGAGAGTATTGATTGGGGCGATAAGTGATGGGGGACAATGTTTAGCCACTTGTCACCGCAGTGACGCAGCAACGAGAGGTACGGGAAGGAGAAGAGGTGCGCGATGGTCATTTCTCGCAGTGTCCCGGCGAAACCCGGCCCTTAGTTAAAGCAGGTATAAATAGTGTAATTCAATCATTTATGTGAAGCGCAGGTACGGGTTGTTTCAGGCTAATAAAAGCTCTACACGACGTAGGTTTCATTTTTCTTCATTTGAAAGTTTTGGCATCCAATAAATACGTATTTCACACCTGTCTTAAAATATTTGCTTTCCTAGATGGCCTTCGTATTAGACATGGAAGAAATCGTGTGAAGAATGTTTGAACACGCACTTATGATGTCGTGGAAGGTACAGTCGGGAGCAAAAGTTTGCGGGGCACGGTAGCGCGCGCCGAAATGCATCGCCGCGACGTCCGACGGCGCGCCGCCGCATTAAAAAGCTGCGTTTCGCGCATGCGCGTCCTTCGTGCTGGCAGTTGTATCTCTTTCGCTCGTTTCTGTCCGATTTACTCCTGATACCGGAACCGGCTCCAGGGGCGCAAGCTGCAGTTTCGCTGGCTGTCGTGCCTCGCGCCTGCTTCAAGATGCCTCAGCCGCCGCGCTGGGTGGCGGAGTGCCTGGCTAACCCCCCCCCCCCCCCTCCCCTCCCCCTCCCCCTCTCCGCTTCCCTATCCTAGCGCGGGTCACCCGTCAGGTTACATTTCGCGTCAAGCTCAGCTGTGGACTGAGCGACAATTTCTTTTTTTTTTTAGATTTCTTGCCACCCACGCTTTTCAGGTGCGTATTATAACATTTGCATTGAATACATCCCTCCTTCCGATGTTCGACAGCAATGACCCCAGGTTGTCTATAGGTCGGTGATATGCAACGAAGCGCATATTAACCAACTCATCTTGGTAGTGCTCCGCATTTTGCGAAAATGCCGCCTAGAGCTCTGCTGAGCGATTGAAGGTCCATCGCTAGCCTCTGCACATAAGTGGACTCGCAGTGTGAGATTTGTCGCCGTACAGGTCGATCCAAAACAGCAGTAAGTCGCATTATTAAGGATGTTTGGGACGAAGAGAGCAAGATTTATGATGCCGATCATTCTGGCCAGTCAAGAAAAACCGACGAAGAAGAAGAACCGCTAATTGTAGCCGCGGCAGTGGCCGACCCTTTCTTGAGCTCACGAGAATTTCAGAATGAACCGGAGTTGACTATTTCCTGCCACACGAAACGGCGTCGTCTCAAGGAAGGGGGATTGCACAATTGCGTGGCGGCACAAGAGCCGCATCTAACCTATAGACAGCGTCGGCAAAGGCTTGAATTTGCCCAAGCCTTAGAACAGTGGACTGTGAACGATTTTTCTCAAGTCATCTTTACGGATGAGTCCCCGTTCTGCACCCGGAGGGACCAGAAACGGCGTGTTTGGCGGCCCTTTAATTGCAGGTGTGAATGAGTAATCACTTTTAAGTGAAAAAAATTCTGAAAGGGGTAGTTCGTATGCGTTATGAGCTACCCAAACTAACTTCATCCTCTCGGCGTGCAATCATGCAAGTCTAAATTCAACACAGTTATTGTGATACCTTTTAGCGTTACGGCCCCAATTTTCCACGAGTTCAACAGGTTTATATGCTGCGCCTTAAAATATTGCAAATGATAAAAGTTGGAACTCAAATCTTTACGCAATAAAAAGCGAAACGTTACGATTAAAAATAAACATACTTTTCGTGACAATAAGAAACCCTAACTCTCCACAAGGTATGGGGCTTTCATTTTTACGTCCCTTTCGCAATATGTTTTTGTAGAGAGACCTGCCGGAGTACACACAAAATGTGCTGTCCAGTGGCCGCTGTGCGTGTGTCCGTCTGGGGCACCATCGGCAAAGATAAACTTGGACCCCTTGTGCGGATCGATGGTGCTTCAACGCGTCTGCCGACTGCGACATGATCGAACAAACTCTGCTGCCCTACCTCCGGGACGCTCCGGATGGAGTGTACCCGTTGCAGCACGGCCGCAGCCCCATTCACTCGGCGCGCAAGGTGGACGAACTCCTGGAAACTCGCGGCGTACGTCAGCTGCAGTGGCCATAAACGGGGCAGATATGAACCCCATAAAAATGTATGGCGGCTTATGAAAACACGACTTTCACCGCAAAATCTTGGCAGCGACACGGCAGGCGCGTTATGGAAAGTGATCAGCCAAGAGTGGGAAACGCTCCGGGGACATCTCCAGAAAGTGGCTGCGCTCTACGAATCTATGCAGCGAGGTTTAGCGCAAGTGATTGCCGTGGACGGCAATTGCGGTGGACACTGATCGTTCCGCACTAATGCCGACACGTTTGGTAGATTCAAACAAATTTTCTTGTTAAGTTTTCTCTATTTTATGTGGACAAAGGACTCGCAATATATTTTTTATCCTCTTCTTGTATTGTGTTCCTGTTTATTATTTACCTTCGCACAGCGCGGTACTACATCGTTCACAAACAGCTAACCTGGGGGGATGAAGCTTCTAGAAATAGACAACCTGTTTGATAATGGTCTATAATAAAACACCCAGGGGATAGAAGCCGGCAGGAAGATCATGAAGGGGAGCCTCTGGTAAACCACAGAACGGCGGGCCCACGTATCACTAAGAGGCCTAGCTTCTTCAGAATCCCTGAAGAAGCTATGTCTCCTAGTGAAAAGTTGGCACGCCGTTCTGACGTTTACCCGAAGATCCGAGCCCTTCACATTGATCTCTAATGTATTCACTACAAATGGCAGGGTACGCCCGTGAAAATGGAGGATAGCAAAACGTTTGCAGTGGTATTTCGATCTATCGATCAAACCGTCATATGCAGAGTTGCGTTTCATGAGGATCGCAAAGGATGCAAACTCCAGTCCCAGCCATCCAAGCGCGCGACGCCGCGTCCGAAACCTCGTTGGAGCTCACAGCAATAAACATGTAAGAACAGATGCCAATTTTTGTAGCTTATTGTTATGTTTAGTTTGTACGATCTAAATTCTTCGCCCTTTTGTTTGTTCCTTCTTTGCTGGCATCTGTGGCAGCGTCCCCCTTACACTTGCACCACGCTGCCGAACGGCACGGGCTAAGAGCGCGCGCTGTGCTGCGCGCTCTTTCCCCTCCCTTTTTTTTTGGAAGAGTGTAGAAACAAAACAAATGATGACAAAACATTATGCACGCATTTACAACAGCAAAATTAAAGAGCATGATAAGCACAGTTTAAAAGAAGCACACAAATAGTTCACTCTTTTCATCGAGTACCAAGGTCTCCATACCGCACTGGTGGTCGACGGTTCCGCCCTGAGCGCCTTAGAAGCACCTGCCTAGGACACTGAGCAGTTGAAGTTCCCATTCCTGGTGGCGTGTCCGGGGCAGGTCTGCACTCAGGCGTCCGCGATCGAGGCAGCTGCTGCACGGCCGAACTTGACTCTTGAGGTTGCCAAGTATGATGCCTGTGGTACGCGCCACCTGGAGTAGCAGTGTGGCTCGCGGGCTGGCCACCTTGAACGGCAGCAGTGTGTCCCGCTGATGATGACTTCCTGGACTGGGATCGGAAGCAGCTGCGAGTTTCGAGGCATTCCACACTCTACCATCTCCCAGCCGGAATGTCCACCGACCAACCCGCTTCATGATGCGGAGTGGCGGCCCGAAGGCCGACTCCCCCTTGGCTACCTTTCCTGGTTTCTTCACTCTAACCCAGTCGCCAACCCTGAATCTGGGGGTTTTCGCCGCTCGACGCCGGTCGGTGTACTCCTTCGTGTACTGCTGCCTCTGCTGCACTCGATGTCTCAGCCGTTGCAGCTCCTCGATGGGATTTTGCAAGAACTGCGCCGACAACAGTCCGAGGATGTTAGGGCGGGTGCGAGGCTTCCGTCCATGCAGCAGGAGAGCAGGAGAAAGTCCAGTCGTGGCATGGGGCGTGCAGCGATATATCATCAAGTAGTCTCCAAGAGATGACCGGATGCTGCTCCGCTCAAGGGTGGCGCACTGGAGAAAACCCTTCAGGGTACGGTTGAAACGTTCAACCTGCCCGTTGGACTGGGGGTAGTAGACAGAAACCAGCTGGTGCTTTATACCGCGCGCTTTAAGGAACGTCTCAAATTCGCCTGAAACGAACTGTGGCCCATTGTCGCTCACAACGCTGTCGGGGTACCCCTCTCTGGCAAAGATGGCGCAGAAGGTCCGTGATCCTCCCCGTGGTGACGTTTGGGCAGAACTGTCCCTCGGGCCACTTGGAGAAGTAGTCCACCAGCGTGATGGCGTAGCGACACGCAGGCTCCGCTCGCTCAAAAGGGCCCACGACATCGATGCCCACCTTTGACCAAGGTAGCTCTGGCAAGGGCGCTGGCTGCAGAGGGGTCGGTGACGTCTTGGCACTCTTGTCTGAGGTGTTACAGATTTTGCAGGCGCAGACTGCCCTACGCACTTCCGCGTTCATGCGGGGCCACCAACAGAGCTCACGAAGGCGTGCTTGCGTCTTGACAAAGCCATTGTGGCCCTCGTGTGCTCTGGCGACAAGAGCGCATCGCATAGTCGCGGGGATGACGAATTGCTGTCCGCGCAGCAGGAGACCGTCGTTGACGGAGAGCGCATCCTTCAGGACGTAGAAGATGGCCGCATCACTTATCAAATGTTGCATGATTATGCTAATGTCATATTCGCAGGAATGACACAAAAAAATACAGGCAAGCTGTTGGACTTACAACATCTTGCAAACCCGACATCGAGGAACAAGGGAGGACACAAACAACAATTGAGGTTGTTATTTGTGTCCCTCTTTTTTTAGAGCGCAGCTCTTAGGGGCCCGTTCCCGGCTTGAGCGGCGTCGCCGTCGCCGTCGCCGTCGCCGTCGCCGTCGCCGTCGCCGTCGGCGTAACCAAGGTCATCCCAAGGTCACGTGACCCCCAAGGTCACGTGACCCCCAAGGTCACGTGACCCCTCCAGGTCACGTGACCCCTCCCAAGGTCATCCCAAGGTCACGTGACCCCACGTGACTCCCAAGGTCACGTGACCCATCGAGGTCACGTGACCCCTCCCAAGGTCATCTCAAGGTCACGTGACCCCAA